AGGTTTTTTAGTACGAGTCTGGCATTGATACGTTTCATACCCAAAACATTAACCTAATAATGTGTTGAGTCGATCCCGAAGAGATTTTGAGATCCTTTGCTAACTTTCTTTTTCAGTGTTATTGATGGACAACTCGAATGATTCCATTGGAAAAACAAAATTTAAAGCAAACCCGTTGTTAGATTTCTTGCCATGGTAGGTTAGGTTAGGTTAGGTTAGGAGGTCGATCCCAGAAGGGATCCCACTTGGACAGCTTAAGACGCCAGTCCGTTGTGATACCTACGACTCCTATAGTCCGGATCAAAAGATCCTTACAAGTCGACAAGACGTCTTGTGCTGACTACAAACTTGTTAAGACGGCCAATATCCATTACGGATAGGTATTCAGGACCGCCAAACGTGTGATTGCCGAGATATTTCAATCGCAGCCTAGCGAATGCCGGACATTGGAGAAGAAAGTGCTGGGATGATTCCACCTCGCCCTCCTCCATACAACTTTGGCAACTGGCATCGGGTAGTACACCAAGCCGTACCGCATGAGTGCCCATTGGACAGTGTCCAGTGAGAACTCCTACAATAGCGGCTAGAGGCACTTTGCTCAGGGCGAGAAGTTCCCCCGACCTCCTGCGATCCACTCTTGGCCAGAAGGATCTCGCGGTCGCACAGGACCTAGTCATCGACCAACGTCTGCTGAGTGCACGCGAGGTCCATTGATCCAAAGTTAGAGCGCAGGACGCTAACGGAGATCCAACCCGATCCCATTCCGATGTGAGCGGGGTAAAGGTGCCCCCCCTGGCTAGCTCATCGGTTTTGCAGTTTCCAGCGATTCCGCTGTGACCAGGCACCCAAACGAGCCTGATGTTGAAATAGCCAGACGCTACCTCTAAAGAGGACAGACACTCCTTGACTAGCTTTGATTGCACGGTACGCACGCTCAAAGCTAGTATTGCTGCCCTACTATCAGAGTGAATGCTCACTTCTACAAACGAGGCTGCACTTCTACCGCCGCCTTAATAGCAGCCACTTCCGCCTGAAAAACACTACAGTGATCCGGTAGCCTGAAGCTAAGACTGACGGAGAGCTCCTTACAGAGAACCCCCCCTCCAACCTTCCCTCCTAGCCTCGATCCATCCGTGAAAAAGCTCACCGCGCCTCTTCTCCAACGGCTTCTTTCCACCCACATGTCCCTCGTTGGGATATGAGCGGAGAAGGAACCGCCTCGAGTGCCATGGTAAAAATCACCGGACAATTTTTTCACGTCGCAAACGAACATAAAAAAGGTTGCACCAAGTTATGAACATTTCATCGATTTGGCGTGCGCAGTTTAAATCATCAATCATCATCATCAATTAGATCATTCCGGGTCAAATTTGGTGACGAAAATGAAACTCCAACGCAAGGCGAACTTACTTCTCTTTGTATATAAGAATAATATTTTTATATAGCATTCATTTCTAAGGTTATCATTAGTAATAATACATATGTATACATACGTATGTATATACATATGTACATGTATACGTATGTGCTAAAAAATAGTAAACACTGATAAAGTTCAGTGGGAAATTTCGTGAAACTTTATTGCTTGCTTCCGTGCTTTTCAGGTTGTGAATACTACCCTAACATCATTTATTATTTAAGTTTTCTAAGTACTTGTTGCCTTTTCCTTCTGCATATTTCTTTTCAGCTGGCCTTTTTCTTATAGTAGGGGAAAGCATCGAAAGCCGAAGTGCAGAACTTTAATCCGCTAAACCTAACCTACTCCCAACTCATGTCTCTCCCACGGAACCACTGGATTAAGTATTACTTCATGGGAAAGAAAAGGACATTTAAGTCTCATCTACAGTACGGACTGACTGACTCCTAATCTGTTGTAAGTATCTCAGTTTTGTCATAGTTAGAGCTGACGCTTCGCTGACAGCTTTCCATTTATCAGAAGACTAACATATACCTATGTGCTGTCAAGGTTTCCACCGTTAGACTACCGAGTGTAGATTTTAACTTTTCCCTAATATTTAAAAATTCAGCTTGGCTTGCTGCCTCCACTTGTGACCTTATTCTCTTTGATTGATATCTTAGTTAGTTGATCCTCGATCTTGTTATTGTTGATTGAATTTTTCTTCTCGTATGGCAAGTGATATTCGCATTACATATGTATGTACGTACATGTGTACCGTGGAGGATGGATGGTGTCGGCACAGCACTCCAATCGTATCCAGCGAAGAGTGGCAACATTGCAAAGGGGCAGAAAATCGCACGGCTGACTGAACGCCAAGCCACCTTGTGGCACCTGTTCATGTTGTGGCCTTTCAGTTTAACATACAAATACGATACATACTTGTATCTATGTATTTATGTATTTGTATTGCATTGCATTTTGTGTTCCAAATTCCAGTTATGTATACAGATTTCTCCTTCATCAACATATATGTATATGTACCACATATGTATATGTACATGTGTATATGTATAAATATATGTACATATATTTGATTTTCGTAACAAAGCTTTTGAGGGCAATCTTAAGCAAAGACTGCTTAAGCAGTTGAACCATCTTTTTTAGGTTTATGCCCATCAACATCAGTATAGTTGGCCAATTTGTAGATTCCGGAGTCTGGCAGATGGTTTTGGTATCTGATTTCCATCGAGCTGGATCTTCTGGCGATTTACGCAATCATGTGTTTAATCATGTATTTTAATATGTGTGTCCACATGTTAGATTTTTTGTGAATAATAAAAATAAGTGCATAATATTGAACATGTGGTTGACCGAAGTCCTTACAAACCACAACAAAATGTCAGATTGCTGTACGTACAATACATATACACCTAAGTATATACTATGCATGTATTTACATGCATATAAGAGAAATTTACGTGCATGTAATACAAACATAAATATGTAAACTGTTTCTCCAGACGATCGTTATAAATATACTAGACATACTTAGGTATAAACATATAAGCAGCCGATACCAAAACCTATTAAATTCGATGAAATTAAATACAATGAATTCCATATGGCTACGGACTCGGTCGGAACCGGTTGCGGTTTGCACGAAAAATACGTTACGAAAGGGTCGCTGTAGATACGTACCATATACTCCGCAAATACATACATACTTATATGGACGTGTGCACCCTTAAGCATATCAATAACAACAAGCCCAACATAAGGAAGGGCCATGTTACCTACGAAAACTGACTGCAAATGTGTATATAAATGCATATGTAAGTACACATGTATGTATGAGTGTTTGTACGTACTTATGTACATGTACATGTTGGTTAAAAATAATGAGGATCAAGAATAAAACGAATCAATGGAAACCGTTGCGACAGATGTTTCCGTTCAAGGTAATCACTACAGGGTGGGAATGGTGGTATATACAACATAGATATAAATATGTATGTATATACATAGGTACATGCATATATATATGTAAGTATGTATACCGTCACATCGCATTTGTTCTTACAAGGAACTATAGAGTCGGTGAAAATAGCCCGTCATATGTTAAAACCAATTTAAAAAAAAATTGACAGCAGTTAGTGGTTCAGGTATACAAGAACTGTTATGCGAAATCGCGATTTGTAAATTAACTAAATTCCTATTTAAGGAATTTTTTTTTAATAGTAGCAATCTCTGTATAATAGTATAATTTTCTTCTAATAGATCTTGTAGAACCTGCATTATTGACTAAAATATTTAGTGACTGATTACTATAACCATTCATTATATGAGCTACACCGCCTTAGTTTTCTATTGCCCGGACAAGTATAAAACAAATCATCACGTCGGCAGTGCATCATATCGAATATTTCTATACACCTATTCAAAACAGGGGACTATTTCCACTGTCGCCTGTGTCGTTGCCTACAGTGGTTGCCCGCTGACACTGTTGTACATACATACATGTACGTATGTAAATATGTACTCACATACAAAATTAAGTAGGCATTCCTGTTTGTGTACCGCAGCGTGTGGGCTTTGTGCATTTAAAACAAGAAAAAATTGTAACTTCGACTGCACCGAAGCTATAATACCATTCACAGGTGCATTTCATATAGCAACTGTATGTATGTAAAACTAAATCAGAAAACATGCCGGACAATGGTTTGCATCCAACGAAAAACGTTTTCCCAGTTCTTGCTAGCGACTTTGTTTGATATAAACAACTTTCAAATCGAATTTAGGTTAATTAATCAGGCAAAAAGATCTTTTATGAAGATATTGGTCCGATCTGAACAATATATTATTTCGAACAGAGATTGTAGTATTGGCTTGGACAATAACCTGCCAAATTTCGTGAGTATATCTTTCCAAATAAGGGTTTTCCATACAAGCACTTGATTTTGATCGTTCAGTTTGTATGGCAGCCATATGATATAGTGGTCCGATATCGGCAATTCCGATAAATAAGCAGCTTCATTGGGAGAAACGGACGTGTACAAAATTTCAGACAGACTGACCGGACTTCGCTAAATCGACTCAGCTCATCACACTGATCCTTTATAAATATATTTTATTGGATCTCCGACATTTTCGTCTGGAGTTGTAAACTTCGTGTCAAACTTAAAATAACCTGTTCAGGGTATAAACATCGCTCCAAGGTGCCACACAATTTTAGAAAGTTAGAAATGATCGCCTTTCGTGGGCCTAAGCGGACAAGTGACATGGAAGCGCTTGCTGTGATTGTTGGGTAGTAAATGTTGGAAGCTCAGCAGACATCCCGTTTTCATTTTTGTATGTAGTGCCTATAATACATATTTATACACACATACATATGTATGTATGTATTCAAGTTTTTATTCACTGCATCTCGCTGAGGACTGTGTGGGAGGTTGCCGGCGTGAATTAATAAAAACAATATTTATTTCGAAGATACTTACATACATATGTGTACACACTTATGCCCGGTGTGTATGCAAGAATATAACAAATGCTTGTGTATACATAAATACATGTAATAATAATACAAAAAATAATAAAAATTATATATTTGGCAATTTCGTTGTAATTTTATTTAAGTAGTTATATTTGCACAGCTGTAACACAAGTATGCGTGTATGTATGTGTGTATGTATATTTGTATTATTATCTGAAGCCAGATATGATGCACCAAATGTAATTAACTTTATTTCATTTAAGATCAGCGGTACGCTTTGTATCCGTATTGTGTACTCAAATGAAGACCGGTCCTCTTAAACGACCACTTCGACCAGTTTCGTTTTGACATATTGCTGCCAGGCTTTTTCAGTGGCAGTCACTTGTTTTTCTATCTTCGCCTGTAGGCTTGCGATTCGATATTTGTCCAGAGCCAGCTTCATCACCATATAATCGAGGGTGCGTTGAGAGTCATCTGCAGCGATGGGCGGCTCCTTTAACTTGTCCGCCAATTTGATGAACTTTCGCAACTGATCGACATTGTAGTGCGATTTGGTTTGGTGCGAATCGTTTGCCGCAGCTGCTGATGCATCCAAAATATTCAGGTAACGAGTAATTAGCTTCACCTTCGAAGATATGAAGTCACTTCGTCCTACAACTGGTGATATTTCCTGGTAGAGTCCAGTTAAGGCATCTACGATTTCGGTCGCGTCTGTATCATTTTGTTCTTGCATCCAGAAGTCGGACATCGTTCGCAGTGGACCAGCGGTGGTGCTGAATTGTGCCATTTCATCGGGTCGCGAAGTTAATTCCCGCCCGATCGACTCTTCTGGATGGAGATTATTTTTAATGGTCACATGATTGTTTTCAAAAGTCAATGTTTTGTCAATAGCAGCGTCGGTTTCGTTGGAATCACCCGATTTGACATGAAAATCCAGCGCAAAGCGAAAGAGCACGTTGGCGTTCGCGAGCTACATACATACTTATGCAAATTTAAATTGGTAATGATTATGACAAGTACAGGTATACATATATAGGAATATACCTTCGTTTTCCGTGTGATTAGAGCGAAAACTACCAACAATAGCAACTGTATCCGTGGCTGCATTCTGATCTTATATTAAATTGATTCGAATGTAAACTACTACAGAATCTTCAAACGGATTTCTGAGACCCAGTGGCCTCAGTTTCTGTTTGTCAGCAAATTCTTACTTAATTAACTACGAGTATGTAGTAACAGTCCCGTTATCTCCCACATAGTATTCACAATTCACAAAAGGTTAAGCGGGGTTCAATCGAGATTAGATTCAACATATACGCATATACTCGTATATATAAATATATATATTGTACATATGTATGGTCTTCTTGCTGTATCTTTAGATTTGTAAATGCATACATTATGTACATAGTATTACATATTATATTATACAAGTAGTATTGTGTATACTAAATGTACGAGTACTTATAGTATATGATAAAGTGGCAATGCTGTCAGGCAAAATACAAGCTGCGTTTGTAGTTCGTATAAGTTGTCAAGCAAGGCCGGCCCGTCCATATAGGCAAATTAGGCAATTGGCTGGGGCGCAAAAATTTTAGGGCGCTATTTTAGCTAATTCTCTTCACATATTTTATTTATTAGTTTCTTTATTTATGTTATTATTTAGGGTACAATAGTAATAGCAGTAAATTGCTTGGGCCGGCCTTATTCTCAAGTAGTTTACAACTTTTGGCTACAGGGTATTTACATACATACTACATATGTACATATAACTATGTACATATATAACGAGATGTGCTCTCGAGAAACCTCGTGGTTACAATCTGTACCCATGCAGTATGTATGTATATATGTATATCAAAACTAGCTTCTAAAAAAGCACCCCAAATGCTAGTTGTCCATCTTGTTGTATATACATAAACCTCCCTAGGCCTTGCGCAACCCTCTTTCCACTACAGAGTCATTGGTCAATTGACTGTCTGGTCATTGCACTGACGCCGCATCAACAAATGAAGGCTTTATATGGTCCATACATACATATGTATTCATACCTACGATTTCTGTAAATAAATGCATAAGTAAATATGTATGAAGATGGTAGTTGGTACTGGAGAGTAAGACTGTGTTTACACGAGAACTCTATTTGTCGCCCAGAGCGGTTTTTGTGGGCGAGGGAACGAAGAGGAAAGACGAAGGAGCTCCTGCTCGAATGGCACAAAATAGCTGAACAAAAATATTCTTGTGTTCCGCGTCTATGAAGAATACAAGAATTTGAGACTGCGATATGAAAGAAAATTATCCGACGCAAGTTGTCGGATTCGCGTCGCTTGTGTAAACGCAATGAACGATATCAAAAGAGAATTTGCCGATGAGTGCCTTTTTGTCGTACTCATCTAAACGCAGTCTAAGAGAGTGAGGAATTTTATCACTTTGTTTTTGTTTGTTTTTATATAAGGGGTATAACAATCGGGGGAAAGTTCTATTAAAGAGAATTACCTTATGTAACTTTGAATTTATCATGTTAAGCCGATTCCGTTTGTTTTAAAATTAGTTAGGCAAACAATACCTCGTAGAAATACAAATGTACACATAGGGTTGTAGAGTGAAACCGGTGCCCGGGGACGCTTGTAGTGAATTGTTGGAGAAAAAAAACTGCGAAAAATTGTTGTAGGGTACCGCGCCATGTAATTGTTCCCGCTCTCCCCACTCTCTTCATTACTGTACACACCCATGTAAACAAACAGAAGTGCATGTATTGAAACAATTGTTTGTAAGGGAACACTTTTGATATAAATATATGTATGTAGATATGTATCCCAAGGTTACGTCCTTGAAAAAGCTAACCGTTTAGCAAACGTCCTGATCTATAATATAATATACTAAAATATAGCAATATATGTATTTGCTAACACAGGTTTATAGGTATATATGTATGCTCGATTGTAGATGCAAGAGATATGTACATACATAAATATGTATGTTTTTATATGGAAGTATGTGTATGTCATCAATGTGTTGCATGACATGCCATTTGTACACATGTACATATGTATGTACCTATGTATAATATATGTTCATGAGTATAGCGGTACTTATTTAAGAACACATACATAGGTATGTATATCGACATATCTACGTTTATACATACGTCACATATGGTATATCCCACAAGTAGATATTATAGAGCGTTGTTGTGATAATTTCTCTTACGAGCCTATCATCGATAGATATGCATGTCATATTTCATTCATGCATATGGATTTATAGATATGCAATGCAAATTATTTACGAAATATATAATACATATATAGGTATATACATACATATGAAAGTAGATATGATGATGATCCTTGATGTACATACTTACGTATGTAATGCTTGCGGCTTTCATAGTTACAAAAGTAAAATAATTACATGTTTCTTTAAAGAAAATTGGTTTAAGAGTCGTAGTTGTAATTATGCGAGACATTATCATAACCCGATTGATCGGATTTTACACAAATCACTAAAACTTTTACTATATATCATATGATCAAAAATTATCCGAATAACAGAAAATAAAATACATTTTTAGGAATTTTAATACAAGTTTTTATTATCGCCGTCAAACTAGGCTTCTGGACCAATACCAGCATGCCAACGTTTAATTTAATTTTCCATACACTTGTCATAAGTTTCGGGTCGGTCCTCAGCTACGTTGTCAAGCATATTTGTTGCGACCTCCACTCGACGTCGCTTTTGCAAAAGTTTCAAGTCTTTTGGTACGAGTCTTGCATTGACAAGCTTCATACTCAAAACATTAACCAAATTGTGTTGAGTCGATCCATAAGAAATGTTAAGATCCTTTGCTAACTCTCTGATGCCAACACGACGATTTTCAAGGATTGTTTCTTTAACTTTTTCGATGTTATCATCATTAACAGAAGTGGAGGGGCGACTTGCATGAGAGAGGTTCAAATTTGATTAGATGGTATGCAGGTGAAAATAAAATAGTGAGAAGCTTTCTTGCATTAACTGACATCACAAGCAGTTACATAAACGTTTAAGTAAGTAAATATTTGTACATTTATATATTGAATCACAAAAAAGTAGGAAAAATTCGTTTATCGGTAATATCTGGCAGGTGGCTGTTTGGGTTATAAATCCTTCAAAATCGTAGTAAATACATACTCATGTAAGTATGTAGAAATGTAAAATAACAACACACCTTTTTATCTTCCAGTTTGTCTCAAACCATGGCTCGAATATACAATATATGCAACTTCAGGTATGTATACATACCGAAAAACGGACATGCGCTGTGGAAATTGCGTTGTAGGAAATAGGGGGAACAAACTGGAATATACGCAGGAAATTCCCAGCGTTTCTGTTTACTGCATAACTGTGCTGAGAGGCATGTCGCCTATATTAGTACCTCCAGTTATTGACGATAATGAGAGAATATGTGGAGACGGTAATGTTGACACTTGCGAAGCCGCGCGCTCACTTAAATATGTGTATACGCTATTCCGGAATTGGCGCTCATTTCCCGGGTAATGTAGTATTCGGATTTTTTTGTGATTGCCAACAATAAAAACAGCACAAAGTGGGCAGGAGTCATGCTGATGGCGGCTATTTTGGTAATTGCGTCGCAAAAAATCACTTAGATATACTTATACCTTTACTTACATATGTACATATTTCTTATTATAATAATGTTGTGATAAAAACCCTCTTTTTGTCAGTTTTATTAATGAGTTTTATTTTTTATTTAATAAAGGCCATTTCATATTATAAATTGTTAGGTATAAGCTTCAAATGCTTAAAAAAAAAATTGGTATGCAAAGAGTTAATGAATTGCAGGTAAATTTAAAATTTTAGAGCAACAATTACAATACTACAGTTTATTGGAAATTAGTAGCTAGCATTTTATTTCCATAATTTAATAAAGAAACTTAAGTTTTTACTGCAGAAACAGTTAGCATGTGAATTCAGCTTTTCTCCTGACGCTAATGACTTTGGATGTGATTTTATGAGGAAGTTACAAAATTATTTAAATGCGAGTACATTGCGTTTACATGGGCCTTCCCATGCCGCGACCCATGCCGCCAGCCATCGGCATCTCATTGCCAGCTTTGGGGCTCTTAATGGTTTCATCGACGGAGAGTATCATGCAGGCAGCCTCGGCAGCGGCGGTTAAAGCGTTGATCTTGATAATCGACGGCTCCCAAACGCACTGGTCAAAGTTGTCGGCAATATGCTCCTTGGTGATATCGACGCCAAACCACTGACCACCTATTAAATGATATAGAGAAATAAAATGCATATTCATCGATTAGAAGGACTGTTTGTGCAGTGTGCTTGATATTCTAAAATAATTACTTATTTTAATTACAGATGAAAAAAGCTATAAATTTAATGTTATAGTTAAATGATAATAACAGTATGATTTTCAAAGAGACCTTCGCTGCTGCCTTAAAGGGGTACTTATTTAGAATTTCTTGCATTAAATTGTATTGGATCAGTGTTTGTGACAATGCGTATCTACACATGTGCCTACACATAGCTCTGAAAGTATTTTCATTTACCCTAAGGGAGGAAACCAGTTTTGATGATTTAAAAAAATCTACTTTTTTTATTGCATAAATTGTTAGTACAACTATTCAAGAATAGGTTGCTTAGGTTTCAAAACGAAATTGAAATTATTTCCGATGATATGAGCACTAGGATAAACAATGGTCGATTCAGTGCCGAAGCGCCTTGTTTTTCAAATGCGTTTTGCTCGAAACGACTTTTTTTCAACTTGCGGGAATCCTAGCACGAAAAGTTATTGACGAATCGATTTAAAAATTTGTGTGAATATCCTTTATTCAACTTAGAAAAACATGAACCAAACTCTGGAATGATATTATTAAGTAAAATATATTTTTTTATGTAAGAAAAGTGAAAAAAAATGAAATAAAAAACATAACATTTTGTTCAAACACCTCTAAAACATTCAATTTTCAATTCTTTTGACCAGAGTTTGGTTCATATTCTAAGAAAATATGTTACTACCGAAAGTAAAAAAAATTAATGATTTCAGATCAAAACTGTTATCTCCAGGTGTCCCGCCAGTAGTCAACTCTGATGGCGATCGTCAATGGACATTTTTTAAAATAGGAGTAAACTACCCTGCAAGTTTAAAGGAATTCTAAGTATTCTTTCTCAGTTAAAAAAAAAATCACAAAAAACACTCGAATTTCGGCCTCCAAAACTGGTTTCCCTCCTTAAGTCAACTTAAATTAATCCAAATTAAGTAATACTGATGGATTCGAGATCCTACTCGGGAAATTCAAACTACTAAAAAAATATATTTCCCATAGCATAGTTTTACCTGTATATGTATGTGTGTATGTTTGTAAGTATGTAATTCGAAATTGTTTATTTATAAAGGTAACATTTTGCATTTTTACGGATAATATGATTATTAATTTCATTTTCGATTTCTTTTTTGCTCCTTCAAATTCGTACCTCAGCAATTTTAGTTTAAAATCTTTGAACAAAATTATACGTATGCACATAGAAAAATTTGAAATATTCAAAAATTCAAAATAAGACAACAAACGCGAGCACCGAAATGATATAAACAAATTTATGCACTTGTACAAAAGTATAAAGTTATTGTATGTACATATGTATGTATGTATGTACTTCTTTTTATAGCCGATATATTCGTGCAATCATGCATATGAACATATTTGCATACGTTCATTCGTATTTGGCCCGAGGCTGTGTAATCAGCCGTTTCAGTTCGTTTCGATGACTACGTGACGTTTTTGTTATTAAAAAAAAAGGCAAAAGCGAGCAACAGTTGTGTTTTTACTAAATATTTAGTTTGTTTATCTCTTGATTTCCTATGGTTTGTTTAGTATTATTTGTGTACACAATTATACGACTACAAATGACAAGGAGACTAGCTGGAAGTGCTAACAAAGGTTGGGGCAGGTTGAGCAGAAAAGTGAATCAGATACGTATACATATACTCGTACATAAACAGGTATGACAGAAATCTGGATGCATATTAATTATACCCTGAAAATAATATATATATATATATATATATAAATGATCAGCATGATGAGCTGAGTTGATTTAGCCATGTCCGTCTATTTATATACGAACTAGTCTCTCAGTTCTTAAGCTATCGATTTGAAATTTTGCACCTGTCCTTTCCTCACTAAGAAGCTGACATTTATCGAAACGGCTGATATCGGACCACTATAGCATATACATAGCTGCCATACAAACTGTCGAAATCAAGTGCTTGTATGAAAAACTCTTTCATTTGACGAGATATCTTTACGAAATTATGCACGAGTTATTGTTTAAGGCAACAATGTATTCTCCGAAGAACTTGTTTAGATCAGGTTACTATATCATATAGCTGCCATACAAATTGAACGATCGCAATCAAGTTCTTGTAAGGAACCTTTGTATTTGTGAAGGGTATTACAGCTTCGGTGCAACCGAAATTAACGCTTGTTTTGTTAAATATTATTGGCCACAAACATTTTAAGAGGAAGTTGCGCAATTAGCAGGGGTTCTTTAGCACACCCGCTTTATACTAGTAAAAACGTACCTTGGGCATGTTTTTGTCGAAGCTTGTTCAGAATGTTGGTGGCGTCAAAACCAGCATTGTCGCACAGCTGGCGTGGAATAATCTCCAGTGCTTTGGCAATGGCGGCGATCAGCAGTTGCTCCTTTCCGGCGATGGTTCGTGAATATTCTCGTAGGATTTTAGAAAGCTCCATTTCGATGGCGCCACCACCTAAAAATAAGAAAACAAATATATACAAATTAGAAAATTTAAAATTTCAAAAATAATTGGTATAAACATCTTGATTTTATATGTTAATTCTATATTTGGGTATTGGATTTATTTAAGTTCAACTTATTTCGATGATAAAAAATA